CGGACATCCTCACGAACCCACGAACCTAATTTTAGAGAGAGAAGGAGAAAGGTAAGTATTTTTTTTTTATTATATTTAAAAAAAAAAAATAAAAATAAAAAACTAATTATCATATTGCATATTAAAAAAATCTTTAATTATTCCGTTACACTGACTTAAATATTTTTTCCACTTCCAAATATTTGGGATGTCAAAAATAATTTGGAATGCCAAAATTAATTTAGGATTTGGAACTTTTTGATCTTCGGGTTCCAAATAATTTTGGCATATTTTGGCAGCCATAATATCAAAATAATTTGGGATTTGGGAACAGGTATACTTTGAAGCCCAAATAATTTGAACCTATTCTATCACCCAAATCTTAAATTATTTTGGAATTTAGGTGGCATGTATATCATGAAGTAGAAACTAGTAGTAAAAAAAGAAAATAAAAAGGAAAGAAAAAAGAAAAAATTAAAAAATTAAAAAAAAATTAAAAAAATAATTAGATAGATTATTTTATATAATATATATAATATATTTCATTTTATACTTTTCTTAATAAATGTATTTCATTTTATTATTTTTTTTTTATAATAAACTAAAATTATAATTATTTGTAAATAAAAAAGTAAAAAAATATATATATATATAAATAAAAAGTACCGATAGATATCCAATAGAAAAAAAAAACTATTTAATACATAGAGATATACCGTATTCGATATATAAAGATATACTATGGCCAATTTATAAAAGATATGTATCCGATAAAAAAAATAAATAAAATCGAGTACCTGATATATAAATAATGAATTTGAATAAAATATCAAAATATTAATACCTGATATGAAATTAATATGAGCCTAATAAGTGTTCGAACTTCTGTATTTTGATCTCACCAATCGGGTGCCTGATATATTACATAATTATTAATATCAGACACCTATTATATACCTATCAGATTCCTAATAGGTATACGATAAATATCCGATATTCCCTATTTCGACCAGTGAACTTATTTTATATAATCTTATCTATTTAATATTATTTTAAATAGATTGAAATAAAAATTTTTGACTATATTAAAACAAATGTTTTTAAAAATTCTTTTGTCTTTATGAATTTTATTATTATTTTTAGATTTAGTAGAGATTGAACTAATTATTGAATTGATTATCACGGGAGAACCAACCTTCTTTTTTCTTTTGTTTTTAATACTGTTGTTAAGTACCTATTTTTTTATGTCATTACATTTTATGATTCAAATATGTTTATGTATTGTTGTGTGTCCAGTGCGACAATATTCTGAAGGATAGAGAATCTTCTTTAACAAAATCAACAAAAGGTTATATAATTATTGTGCTATTTCTGATGATCCTACTTGATCAATTATAGTAAATTACAGAGTTAGAGAAGAGGGTCAACTTAGGAGTGAATTCTTTATTGTAACGGAATTTTTACAATACCAAGTTAGTTTGTGACTTTGCAAGGTATATATGTAAAAGATTCAAAGTCAATAAATTATATGAAGACTTTATTTTAATATTAACTTTATTAAAATAAATACAAGAAATATAAGAAATGGATAAGATATATGATGATAAATAATAAAAGATAAGTATATAAAAATAATAAAAGATAAGTATATAAAAATAATAAAAGAAATGATATTTATTAAAAGAATAAATCAGTGAACTATTTGAATATTATATAAAACTTAGGAACTATTAAAACTAAACTGAACTTAAACTGACTGATAAAAACTAAAGCTAAAGAGACCTGTATTTATATCTTTTTGACACCCTTTGTGCCACAGACAAACTATACTATTCTCTACACTAGATTGGTTCTTTACTAAGTGATACAAATAATATTATCAAAGGTAATTTCATTATCTATCCCCAGGTATCTTACCTAGATATTTTCCTCAGTATCGTATCTAGATATATACCTGGATAAATTAATAATAATAATCTTTAAATGTAACACTTCTTAATTCATATCACTGATTTATAAAATTAACTATAATTATAAATAATACAAATAAAGAAGATAAAATAGATAAAAGATAAAAATAATAATTTAGGATGTCACAGTATATAATCTTTAAATTTCTCCATTACTTTATATAGAATTTGACTTGCTTTTTCTATAGTAGATAACAATAAAGGATTTATAAATAGATAAAAAGATAATTTCAATTATATTTGGTATTTAATGAAACAGAATATAAAATCAAACCTTCTAATTTTCTATTTTTATTTTAACAGTAACAACAAAGATAATAATGGGAATTTAAATATATTTCAAAGATCGAAAACCAATTGTATTTCTTTTTTTATTCAAGTTTTTTACAAAAGTATTGATAATTCTTAATTTCTCTTCAAATAATATATCTCTCTGTATTAGTTCATTTTGAATTTCAGATAATCACATATATTTGGAATTCAGATATACTAATAATTGTATTTTTTGTAAAATAATTTGTATTAAAATAAAAAAAAATATATATATCCAGAATTGAAATATTCCATAATATTTTAGGTATAGAATGTGACATATAAATAGGTTCAAGCTTATTGATTTTTTATTTAAACAAATGTGTTAGTAAAAAACTAATTCATTTTCCTACATTAAGTAATGTAAGTATATCTACTGGATCTATTTCTACTGATTCAAAAAAATTAATTACAAAGCAAAATACTTTGTATTCCAGAAACTAAAATAAGTATAAAAACAAAGTTTCAAGTCTTTAACTTATCAACTTCAGATACAAAAGCCAATGTTAGTAAACCAAAAAATGTCAAAAATCCATTCCACAGATGCAGGAGCACCCTTATTGTGAAACTCATATTTCTGATACTAACTTGAATTCTGATGATAATGCAAATGATATATACTCTGAAAATGCAAATGAATCTGGATATTATTATAATCTAGATAGTGAAGAAAATTTTGTAAAGAATCTTTGGAATATTTTATATGATCTGATTATTAGTGAAACCTTTATTGATTAGAAATATTTTATATATGTATACAATATACATGTTGTCAAAAGTAAAAAGCCTTTGACTCAATTTCAATTTTTTCAATTTTTTAATTGTGTCTGACTTAATAATTGTGTCAAATTACTAGGTAAAATGAAAATTTCACTTGGCTCAACTTCAATTTTTTCAATTTTTAATTGTGTCTGACTCAATTCAATAGTTTTGACATATGCAAGCTATAAAATGATGCATTTTTATAATTGTTCTAATATTTTTAACTTAATATTTAATTTAAACCCAATATAAAAATGAATATATAGCATTATATGAAAATATAATTAATACATATTATTGAAACACTACTAAAAAAAATTACAACGAAAAAAGCATCAATAAATGTACATTTCTCTTAGAAGTAATAAGTTTAACTCGAATCTTCATTTTATATGATTATCCTCGATATGTAGAATCATATCATATGCACTAGTCAAGGTTTTTAAACAGAGCAATAGAATAATGTATTATTGTCTTCCAATGATTCAGGTGATATCGATTCTTCTGTAATCAATTCAAGAAATACATAAATACATAAATAATAAAATTAAATATAAATCAACAAGTAAAATAACAAATATGCACTTGTAAAATTATACATTTGATTTTTGATACATTTAAAATAACATTGGTAAAATATCTCCATCAATTAACATCTTTCCATCCATGATCAAAATGGTGTTGACCCCTTCTATTATATGTGGGTCACTTTATTTTCTGGATCTATTACTGACTTCAACTACAATTACAACTACAGAGTAAAAGGAGTACCTTTAAAACTCCATTTCTGTTGTGAATCCAACTGACGATATATTTCTTTTTATGTAAAGGTGATATCTGGGACTCTTATTGTTTTATCATTTCCAACGTCAAAATTAAAATCTCCCTGAGACCCTGAGAGGCAGTAATACCACCATTTTGCCATGTAAAAACATTCCAAATACTGAGTTGTCTAAAGATCTCACCAACAGCTTTTTCTCTAGAGTAATCGGAATGCTGACGAGAATAGCTACTTTATGTACAAACTAGCAAACAATACTTTTTTTTTTTCTAATTTGTCAACTTCTTGAACAAAACACATTTTTATTGTAAATAAATATGTAATTTATGATTTAAACATGATATATATATACATATAACGTATGTAATATTTGTATATTATATGAATGATAAGAATATTTAATTAAATTAAATTAAATTAAAATTAAAGTCCTTTGTAATCTTTTCTAAAAAAGAATACTTCCAATTTCATTTCATTTATTCATCTATCAACAATAATTTAATCTTGGGGCCATTCGGGTTTAGAAAATTAAATTTATTCACCCATTCATCGTTGATAACATCTTTCTTTTCAATTCCATAACTTTCCATTGAGTTTTTTGTTTCGGCATATCCTCCCAAAATAAAATCACATTCATATCTCATTCTATATATTAAAATTTCTTCCAAAATAATTTTATTACTTTTAATAGAATGTGTTGATTTGTTATCTCCCATACCAAAACTTTCAATTAAATTCTGTAAGAATTTTGATGATGATTCCTCTGAAGTATTATAAAGTACCAATTTTTTTAATTTTTTAAATTGGGAAAAATAATAAAGAATTAAATCTACTGTAAAAGAGGATGAACAATTTGAAGATGAAGTAATGGTATTAAAATTAATTGAAAGTAATTCAAGTTTACTACATTTTATTGTAATCAATTCCCATAAATCTTTTGTCAACCAAGGTATTCCTTTCATATTATGAATCCATAACTCTTTTAATGTATTTTTATTTGCCATCAATAAATTAGCTAATCCGATACTAGTAATCAATTGACAACTACTAAAATTCACCACTTCTAAATTTTTACAATGATTGGATATAGATTTAATACTATTATCAGTAAATTTTGGCATTGACGAGAAATTAAGTTTTCGTAATTTATTTTTTCCAAATTTTGATATTGCGTAAAATGAAACATCTGTAATCCTTGAACTGGAATTTGATAATTCAATTGTATTTAAATCATGACAAATATATGAGATTTGTGAAATTGAACTATCAGATACACCCGAACAATTATTTAAATTAATTGCAAGTAATTCAGGAAATTTTTGTATAAATGATTTAAGTAAGTTTTCAGTAATATTTTTTGAATTTTCAAGATTTAGATATTGAAGGGAATTATGAGTTGATTTAAAATTGGTGATTAGTTTACGAATCGTCATTGGTGTCAAGCAAGATGAATCACGAATAATGAGAGAACGTAAATTTGGACAATGCTGAATTATTAATGTCAACCAATTATCATTCAATGTTTCATATAATGATTCTTTGACTTGATTAATATCAATAATTTGAATTAGAGTTTTGGTTTGTTCGCTCGCTATTTTTGTCAAAATTTTGAAAAAATTTTGAAAGGATTGAAAAGAAGTTAAATCTCCATTATCAAATTCTGGTTGATACCAAAGTTTAGACATAGCGCGTTGACTCCAGGTTTTATTAACAAGTGAACAAGCACAAAGATCTCTTTTACTTAAGTAATTAAAGACAAGATCAAGAAAACGATTATATTGTTTGTCTGTAAGATTCATTTTTTGAAAACGAGAAAAAAAAAGGGTTCGAGGTTTTGAAAAAATTTCTATCTCCGTATTTATTACATATGTGTATACTGTATATAAAAGATTTCTCAATATGGACAGTGTAACTAATGATAAAATAATTAAATTTGTCATAATAATGAATGTCACGTCACACGCAAAAATACAAAGCTGTAATCTACGCGCGTCCATTCCTAACGACTTTATCAAATGTTTTAAGTGAATGCAAGATTGTTATCAAGAATCAGAGTAACACGTTTACATAATTTAAGTTTTTTGATTTTTTGTTATCTATGGAAAAAGTATCTGTGAACATTTATTATCACCGACTTTTCGTTCAAGAATGGAATAATAATAATAATAATAATAATAATAATAATAAAGAGGATACTAGAGTAACGTTTATTTTCCTGTAATAAAAAAAAATTGCTTTTCCAAGGGCCTTTACATAAAATAATATTTCAGATCTAATCCTTCTTTATATTATATATTCTCTTTTTTTTTCGTTGTGAAAATCTATAAAGATTTAAATAAAAATATAAAAAAATCTTTGATCAGGAATTTGTAAAATGATCATCGTAACACAATAATATTTTTTATCGAGCTGATATCTCATATCATGATGTATCAAGAAGGTTTTGAAGAAGAGATTGATCTATCTCCAGATATTGACTTATTGACCAATAATGTTTACACTGGAATTGAAGAAGAGTTGGACGATGAGTGTAAATATTTTCCCTGAAGCCAATTTTTAACAAAGAAAAAGAAAAAAGGTTCATTGCATTAATTTATAATATAGCCCTTCAACAAATGCAATTGTTACTTCAACAACAATATGCACAACAAGAAATACCCGAAGTTGTAAAAAATTTCATTATTTATTTTCATCGAAACATTCTTGAAAATAATGTATATGAATTACATGGAATATACGAAAATTCCTTCAATCGGCTGACAGAAAAATTCTATGCAAAAACACCCTGGCCTGAAGCGGATTTCATTGCACCTTTGGTTAACGATGGTAAAATAAATGATATGATAAAATTGATGAAATTATAAAATTCCAAATAAATCAATAATAATGCATATAATAAATTTTTTTTTTATTTTAAAATTAATTATTTATTTTTTTTATCAGATCAAGTATTTTTGACTTTGTATCGAGAACTTTATTTTCGTCATATATATTCCAAACTTACTCAAACTCTTACTATCGAACACCGTTTTCATTCATATGAGAATTATTGTGATTTATTTAATTACATTTTGAGTAAGTTATTTATATTATTAATTCATATTAATCCTTTCATATGTAATTAGACATGATTAAATATTTTTTTTATATTATAAAGATTCGGGTGGACCGGTTAGCTTGGAACTTCCCAATCAATGGCTTTGGGATATTATTGATGAGTTTATTTATCAATTTCAATCATTTTGTAATTATCGTAATCGTCTCAAGAACAAGACCAAGGAAGAAATTACATTATTACGAGAAAACGTACAGGTAATTCTATCACGTTACGATACTAATATGATATATTTTTAACATCTAATATTATAATATCATTTTATTATTAATTTAGGTCTGGAGTTGTTATAGTGTATTGAACGTCTTATATTCACTCATCACAAAATCCAGAATTACTGAACAATTACTTGTAAGCAAACATGGAGGTGACATGATGTAAGCGAGAATATATTTTAATTTTATTATTTTACTTTATATATGACAGTATTATCGATAATAATAATAATAATAATAATAATAATAATAATGTTTATTTAGAGAAGCTGCAGGCGAATATGGGTCACGTCCTTTGTACAAAATGTTAGGTTATTTTAGTATTATTGGTCTATTAAGAGTTCATTGTTTATTAGGTGATTATACATTAGCACTTAAAATGATGGACAATATTGAACTTAACAAAAAGGTAAAAGTTTATTTTTCATATTGATTTTCAAAAATTATGTAAATGATATTATATATAAATTAAACATTTTCTCTGTAGGCTCTTTTCGCACGTGTAACCGCATGTCATGTCACAACCTACTATTATGTGGGTTTTGCTTATATGATGATGAGAAGATATGCAGATGCTATTAAAGCATTTTCACACATTCTCGTTTTCATCGCGAGAACAAAAATGTATCATACACGATCTTATCAATTTGATCAGGTAAATACATTTTTAGTATAATTATTTGTTTTTTTCTATATATTCTGTTTTAATTTATTAAATTATAATTTATTTTATTTACAATTTATTTACAATTTATTAAATTATAATTTATTTATTTATTTATTTATTTATTTATAATTTATAGATAAATAAAAAGGGTGATCAAATGTACGCTTTATTAACTATTTGTATTGCTTTGTGTCCAACACGATTGGATGAAAATATTCATACTCATCTCAAAGAAAAATATGGTGAACACTTAATCAAGATGCAACGTGGGTTCGTGTTAATAATAAATATTTTTCACTAATAATTCTTTATTCATGATATAATAAATACATTACTAACTTCATTCTTTAGTGAGGAAGGAATACAAACATTCGAAGATTTATTTTTGTACGCCTGTCCAAAATTTATTTCACCAATCGGTCCAAATTTCGAAGATCCTAACGCCTTAGTTCAATCAATTGTAAGAAATATAATTTTCAATATACACGTTATTTTTTAATTCATTATTGACTAAGATTAATTATTTAATTCTTTTTTAAGGAACCACATCATCATCATGCAAAGATTTTTCTGGCAGAGGTTCGTCATCAAATTCTTATCCCAACACTACGATCATATTTAAAATTGTATACGACTATGGGAATTGATAAGTTAGCGGCTTTCCTAGATATTGATTCTAGCGAATTAAGGTAAAAATAAAGTATTCCAAGGTAAATAATAATAATAATAATAATATAATAAATGTTCTAACTTCTTTCTTTGTTGATTTTTAGAACTCAATTACTTATTGTTAAACAAAAATCCCGTCAACAAAAATGGATTAAGGGCACGTTACTTGAAGGAGAATATGTGACGACATCAGATCTCGACTTTTGTTTGAAACAGGTGTGAAAATAATTGAATAAATGATTATTCATATATTTACTATTTGGTATTATTATTTATTTATATTATTATTTATTTATATTATATTTATTTATATTATTCTTTAAAAAAAAATTAGGATATGATTCATATCGCTGAATCAAAAGTAGGACGTCGTTATGGAGATTGGTTCTTACGTAACATAAATAAATTCCAGGTAAAATTTTAATTTAATTTAATTAATTTAATTTCAATTTCAATTTCTACTTAATTCCTTCCCCCTAGGACTAATAATAAAGATATATATATATATATATATATTACTTTCACTTTTTTAGGATATTATTGCAGGAATGGATTTCCGTAACTGAAATTTGAAACTTTATATCATAATTTATTGTATTAATTATTAAAAAGTAAAATATATTTGATTTTTTTTCTTTCTTTTTAAATTATCAGAGTTCAGTAGAAATTATACGAATTGATTTTCAATTATTAAATAGAAAATAAAAGATAATTTTAATTATTCTAAGGGACCTTGCTTTAAAAATAAATTATCTCTTATTGGTAGTCTTGGCGGTAGTTGATACCTTTTCTTTTTCTTTTTCCTTTTTTTCTTCCATTCTTCTAACTGATTCTTTTTTCAATAAACCACCAATTTGGAATGCTTTTTCGGGTTGTTCTCTCAAATAATATAATTTCGCTCTTCTAAACCCTTCACCTTTTTGTAATATCTTAATATTTTTAATCATAGGTGAATACAAAGAATATCTTATTTCAACTCCCACTTTCATTATGATATTTCGTAAGGTGAAGTTAGTATCGATACCTTGTCTCCTTACTGCTATGCAAACACCTGCAAATGTAGAAGTTGATTCGCTTCCCATATGTGTATAACTCTCTACTAGGAGAACGTCACCCGCCCTAACCCCTTCTTTATTTTTTCTAAAAAGTTTTTCACGGTTTAGAGGTCTTCGTTTTATTTCCTCTTCTGTAAGCAACCTCATTAAGTTTTTCCCTGTAAGACTAGGTTTTTTAAACTGTTTCTCGGGCACCAGTATTGAGGGTGGTGGTGCATACTTTGACACGGCTATAAAAATAATTTTCATAGTTTTTAAATATATGTTATTAGGTATTAGGAAAGATAAAAAAAAATAATACCTTTTGCATCGGTCTTGAAATGTCGAACAAATAATAGAGCATACGCTGAAAACGAAGTATTAGAAAATTTTATGAAATTATTTCGAAACATAAGTCGCATGAAGTTAGTAAAGTTTATATCTAGATTTCACTTTTATCTAGCCAATGAATAACTGCTGCATATATTCACGTGATAAAGTAATAATGCTTTATTAATATACATATATTTGCTTTGTTCAGATTGAAAAAAATATAAAACAATATCAACTTCGACTAAATTCTCCATCGCTTTCATATACAATATCATCAAATTCTTCGTCTACTTGCAACCTATTATTATTATTGTTATTAACTTCATTTTCATTCTGATCAACAACATTTTTTCCTTTATTAATTGGAGAGTTTTTTTCTTTATCAATATTAAACGAAGCATTGTTTTGATTGTTTTGATTATTTTGATTATTTTGATTATTTTGATGTTTCTTGGTAGATATATCATCCCAATAAGTTCTATCACCTTTCAAATAATATTCATCTTCCCATTGATCAATTTCTTCCATCTTTTTAGTGTTAGAGAGAGATTGAAGTGAAACTCGCGAAAAGATGAGTTTCTTGGTGGTGTGACAATAATAATCAAGTTTTTGTTGTCGTGGATTTGCTGGATCTTTTTTTATTTTTTTTTAATATTATAATTTTAATAAGATAATTAATTAATATTAACAATAAATGATAAAAATGAATGAATGATAATTAAAATAATGAAATCGGAATAAAATACCAAGATCTTGTAAAAATATTATATCAGTTCCAACCGATTCATCATAAACCCCTTTGAAATGCATATTGCCTATACATAATCTTGGACTTTCTGTGTCCAATCCCTATGGAAAAAAAATAATAATAATAATTAATTACAGTTTAAAAAAAAAAAATTTTTTTTAATATTTTTGTAATATTTAGTGTAATTACTTACAATTAATGAATATGTTACCTCTTCCTTGTTAGGACCTAAATTACTTGATTCTTCTTTGTCATTGTGAGTATTAATATCTTGATTACTTTCATCATCATTTTGAACATTAATCACATTAATTTCATTATCATTATTATTATTATTATTATTATTATTATCATTTTCACAGTCTTCTTTATCTTTATTTTTGTCATTATTATTTTCATTATTATTATTATCTTCATTATTGATATTATCTTCATTATTGATATCATCTTCATTATTAATATCCTCATTATTATTATCGTCATTATTATTATTTTCATTATTATTATTATTATTTTCATTAGTAAAATGATAAGCGCTTGAATTATAGATGTTTTTCATTAAGCTATCATTCGTGGTTATCATATCCAAAGTCACTTCTGTTCCCAAGTCAAGAACTAAATATGTTATCTAAAAATATACAGATATGTGTTAATCTCTAAAAAGTATTTGATAAAATATATTATATTTAAAATATTACCTCTTCTTCATATTCGCTTTCACCTTCGTTGTTATCACCTTTTGATTCAGTTTCTAACGAAGGAACACTAATATTATTATTGTCATTTTTAATATTGTCACCAACGTTATCGTAAAGTTTGGGCAAAATCATAATCACGTGTTAACGATTGCGAAATTTTGGAGGTAAATCCTTTATTGGATTAGCAAATCTTAAACAAAACGCCATCAACCACGCGAGTTAATAATTTTTTGATATTCTATTTCGATTCATAATTGGTTTTTTTTTAAAAAAAAAAAAATAAGATATAAATATTGATTTAACTTATTATTATTAAATTTAATTATGGTAATGACCGATTCTATTATCCAACTTCTTTGCCATAAGTTATCTATAAAAAGTTTTTGTATGAGTAATATACGATTATATGCAGATTTTAATATATATAGATAGATAGATAGATATATATATATGTAAATAAACAATTAAATAAATAAATTAATAAATTAAATAAATAAAAAAGTCATTGCCGCTAGAAATTGGTAGTAAATTGAGGACAGAAGTAAAATATTTCTTGATAATGTGATTATGATTGATTGATTTTTCGTCAATTAAGAAATCGTAAACATTCATAAACGCATTGACCAGAAATTAAATAATCAAATTTAATGAAGTCATAGGGCTTTATTTTTCAGTAACAAAAAAGTCATTGATTAATGAAAACAAATGCAGTAATAGAAAAAAAGCCATTAATTAGAGAATAATGAGAGAAAAGCAATCAACAAACTTTTACCCCACACTAAACAACCAAACACGCAATTAAACACACAACTAAACAACTAAACAACTAAAAACATTCGAGAAAGATTTTCCCCCACAGAATTTCAACGTTTCACCTATTATGCTTTTTTGGTAACGTGTTCATTTTATATTAAAGTTGATGGGAATATTTTTTTTTCAATTTAAATTTAATTAAAGTTATGGGAATATTTTTTATATATTATATTTTTTTTAAGGAGGACCCTGATTAAAAAGAAAGTAAATAAAGAACATATGGTATACAAATATGGTATTAGTGGGTATTAAAATATTATTATTATTTATTAAACAAACATTTACCCCACAAATTCACAAATTTAAACTGGTGGTCAAATGATGTATTTTGGAAAATTTTCGAAAAAATTTGATCAAAATATTACAAGATGGCGTTAATCTTTTTTTTCTAAATCACATCATGACTAGAAAAAAAAAAAACATTTACCCCACATAATAATAATAAAAACAATTATGCAATAGGCTTTATTATTTGTGTTTTTTGCGTTTTTTTACGTTTTTTTTGTGTTAATGTTTGTATAACATATTGTGAATAGGGTTCTGTAACTGGTCTGAAATGTATAGAGATGAAGAACTCGCTCATTACACATATTACACAGTACACATATTGCACATATTATACATTATTGCACATATTGTCCAATGTGAAATTTACGAAATCTGTGAAATTTGTGAAATCTAAAAAAAAAAAAATCATGTAATTAGAATGACTAAGTGGCGTGAGTAGATGATATATATCGAATTGATGCAATGTTCTTCCGACTCCCGACTATGCTATTAATTACTTAGTGTAAAAGATTATTATTAAGATTATTGATGTTTATTGGTGCATCATTTAATAAATTTAAGGGTTTAGTTAATTATTATTAATTAGCAAATAATTTCAAATTTACGTCATTCTGTCAAGAATTAAAATTGGTCATAGCGTTTTATGTGGCTTTGTTAGAATAATTAAATGCTTCCAATAAAGGTTTTCATTCTTTTTCATTTACTTTGTGTTCTTTACAAAAAGATTTTATCACAATAATACAAAGAGATCATATCCTTAAAAGATGTTGCTTAACATCTCAAATTTCTTTTTATTATTTAAACAACCACAAAAGGATGTAAAAAATTTTTTGTACACAATGAAGCTATTGTAGCTCATTCTTTTTTTTTCTTAATGCAAAGAAAATGAAAATGTGAAAAAAGGCTAAACATAAAGAATGAATCTTTTTAAGATGAAAATTCCTTTCATTTTAAGAAACTTCGAAAGAGAATAGAATATCTCTCCGTAATGAATATTCGAAATTTTTTTTTTAAAAATTTTAACTAGAGATTTTCCATTAACATTCATTCATCATTTATAACGTTTATTGTAGTATACATTTATGAGTTTCATACATTCGCCTACATACATGTATTACATATCATTACTATGAATTTTGGGTATATCATATGTACTTTGTTACCTCTGTGACAATCATTTCATCTTTTATAATCGAATTTACTTTTTCAAAGTAATATTAAAACGCGGGACCTACCAAAATATTTGCAAAATAAAGAGAAAATATTTAAAAAAAATTTTTTTTTTTAGTAATACACCTGCAAAACTTGTAAATCTGTAAAACATTTTCAAATATCACCTCTATCATATTTACCATAATTTTAACGACGATTTATTTCAAATGATCTCCGAGAAAAAATTTTTTTTTTTTAATCATCAAATCAAATCTCATATCTCATTCAATATTAATCAATATTGATCAATATTGATTCTTTAAAAATGAATCTATTACCATTCGATTTCATCTTGATGAGGAAAATCTAACAAGTCATTGATCGATCACTGTTCTAGAAATCATTAAATGAAAGGTTATTCCATCGAATTTTGCGGAGATCGGCCCAAAAATCAATTCCTAATAATAAATTGCTATTGAGAAATTTCATTTTAAAATGTAAACTTGCGTAATATTAAGTATTTTTCTTTAATTATAGATCATAAATATCCCTATTTGTTTCAATTTACTAAATATTTGTTTCAAAAAAACGGTGTTAATGTTATTTAACAGTATTACAATAACATTATGCATAGTAACACATTTCAAATCCTAAAGTGATTCTAAAATAAAAAATAAATATTGAATATAGGGAGAAAATGTAAGAGAAAATATTAAAATATTAGAGAGAATATGTATAGAGAAAGATTTAATAATAAATTTATTATACTATTTTTACAAAAATCTGTAATGCATTATTGATTTATTATTATATATTTAACATTTAATTTCTAATAATGTAAATAAAGTTGGAATTGAAAAAATTATAATTTTATCAGATCATTTAGATCACACAGATAGAACCAAGGTTCTAATTATACATTCCGAATGAAAATTTTGCTAAAATTACCACATTCATTATATTTAAGATAAAAAATTACATTGGAAAATTCAGGTTGATCATTTTGATGTATGATGAATTTGGTGAACGAAAAAACAACGGCCTATTGGTAGTGTTACTTTCTACAATGGGGATGTATCATCCGTTTTCTTTGTTAAAGAAGAAAGGGTTTTTTTGTTGCTTGTTCCTTTGTTGTAACCTTGCATCACCTCACTTCTTTATTATAAATATTTTTAATATGAAAAAAATTGATTGTACAGATTGTCTAATATTTAATTGTATTTTTCGGAGTAACATTCGAATGGTATATTTAAACATACGAGTTTCAATTAAAATGGTACACGCATATTTTTTTTTTAAAAAAAAAAACTGTAAATAAATAAATAAATAAATAAATATATATATATATATATATATATATTATATATATATATTATATATATAAAGAATATAACTGATTAACTGATTCAGTAAGTTTAAAATGCACGTTTTTATATAAATATAATAATATTAAATTATATTATACTATATTATACTATACTATTCTATACTATACTAATTTATTCTATATTTATACCATAAATCTCTCAGTAATCACATTTACACAATTACACAAATAAATGTGATAACATATATAAAAATAGTTTAGTATTGTTTTTTTTTGTTATAGTGTGTATAAATTCTCATTGATTAACAACATGGATGATAAACATGGTTGCCACTCCATAAACATGTATAAAAACGACCCATTCTCCAGATTTTTCTTTTTTTTCTTCACCTGAAACATAAAAATTTAAAATTTTAGTCAGATAAAATAATATCTGTAAATTAATAATAATAATAATTAGTAAAAATAAAATTTTTATATTCATTAAACCGCGCAAAATATTTTTTCACAATTTAAATAATGGCTAAGCCTACTCTTATTGACATACTTAATAATGAAACTTCATATCCCTATTCTTTAGATGACTTCGCTACATTCTTAGATCAATCTTATTGTTTAGAAAATTTGGAATTTTGGTTAGCTGTTCGTAGATATAAATACTACGCTTATAATTTTTATAATTCAAATGCTCCCCTTCCTCCATTCTTATCTGAAACATACATATCATTACCTAACGATTCATTCTATGACGATGCCTCCCTTCGAGGTGATGCACCAGCTCATCATGAATTCTTGAAACAAAAGCTTGATGATATAATTACCACATTTATTCTTCCAAACTCACAAAAAGAAATTAACATAGATTCCTCAGTACGTGAGGACCTGTTAACGAATGTATTTTCCTACAATAATTACGACCCTTCAATATTGGAAGTTGTAAATAATCATGTATTCGAATTGATGCAAAGTTCAATTTTCTCTCAATTCCTCTTAGAGGCAGGCAATGTTGAGTTACGGATGTCAAGTGAAAGTGAAAGTCAAGATTCAGACAATTCAGCTTCCAGTCCAAGTGGAAGTATATCACAACGTAGTGTATTAAGAACGAAGACAGGAAGAAAACAAAAGTTTAGTGGATTGAAATTAAAAGAAAAATATAGAAAATTAATTAAATCCACTCCAAAAATTGGAGCTGCCTCGTAAAATACAACAATGAACAATTTATTTATTTAGTGAATTTTTTTTTTTTATTATCTCTTAATTTAGTATTAACAACTAGCATCATCTTTCTTGCATTTGTAATATATCAAGCATTTTGTTTTGTACAGAACATAGAATCTGGTTTCTTTTTTTTTTAGATTTTTTACCTAATTTTTTTATACAATAATCTTAAAACTTAAACTTAAAACTTAAAACTTAAAACTTAAAACTTATAAGCAGTATTATTATCATAAATTAATTATTTCCGTTAAACATTCAAAAATTTTAAGCAAAAAATTAAAAAAAATTTTTTTATACATATAAACAAAAAAAAAAAAAGACATTTTTAAAAACAAAAGGTCGAAAGAAAATTCATCCTTTTTTTAACACCTTTTTCTTTACATAATTTATTTTACGTCTCTAATTTTTTTTTTTTTTTAAAAAAAAAAAGTGATCTACTCAAAAATAAAAATCTTTGCATTCAGTGAATACACAAAAAATAAATAATAAATAATTTGTATTGTTCTTTGACGTACATTCATTCATTCATTCATTTAATTGTCTCATTTATTTAGTATTTTAATACTACAAATAAAATCGATTATCTTATTCGAATAAAGAAAAAAAAGTATAAGGTTACAAAAAAAAATTCTAAATTTCTTTGTTCATAAGTATTATGTGCATTTTCTTTATTGTTATTTGGTCTTTCCTGATTAGTCAATTTTTTCTTTTCTATATTTATAAAAATATTGTATATTATCGTAATAAGCCCATACATTTTGGACGTCTCTTATCATGAGTTTTTAAACTGATAAGCTTATCCTGATAAATATCATATGGATGGTTAACAGGTTTATCACCAGATTTGACAGACAAATATTCTCACACTTTTCTTTTAATGATAAAGAAGATAAAGAAGAAAAGCAGGTTTTCCCGAGAACGGCGGGGCCATCAACTAAAACTGAATATGCATGCACAACAATTAAATGTTACTCAAATCATAGGCCGAAAAGAATTACCATTAAAATAATGAAAACTGATGTAAGGGCTGTGGTGCATTAATAATCCCATTAATTTTAAGCTTTACAATTTTAAAATAATAGTTTTTTTTTTATTTCAACTGATAAAATTAATTTTAAGTGGGAATTTTATTATTATAAATTTTTATATTAATTTTTAACAAAAATTAATAACTATTAATAATTAATATTCACCAATTTATTTTGGTGTAATAACTTTTATGAAATTATTTTAAAGATTAATATAGTATTGAAAAAGTGAATAAATAATTTTTTTGTTTAAACTAGTAATTCCTGATTTTATCATGTTCTAAAAAATACTTTTTGAAATATACTTTTTTTAAAAAAAGTATAAATCAAGATGTTTTTTACATCTACCTATTTAATTATAAAATGAAAAATTGTCACTAAGTTAAAATACTAATAATATTTGTTATAACTATTTTCAAAAAGTAGAAACAGTAATAAATTTCAAAAAATAACTATCTGAAATTGTAATCTAAAATTAATGAAAAAAAATAAACAAAATTTTTTTAAATATAAATAAACAAGAAAATTTGTAAATATATATAAATAGGTTAAGCAAATTCATATTAAAAATTTTACTGATTTTTTAATTATTCAATATGTAAAAGTTACAATTTGAAATTAAAGTTACAACTTAAAATCAAAATTATAATTTGAATTTTTTATCTTTAATGAAATAAAATATATATTTATATATAATACTACTAACAGGAGATGAAAAAATGATAATTATAATAACTTTTTTTATTTTATAATAAAAGTTAAAATAAAAAAAAATCAATTTTAAAATATTTAAAAATATTTAATTATAAAGAAAATAAAATAAATAAAAATATAAAAATTGTAAATTTTTTTTAATAATATATTAAAAATAATATCAATTTATTTACTAAAATTACAATAAATAAAATAAAAAAATTATTTAATAAAAAAATAAATTTGAAAATATTGAAAATATTGATTATAAATTTAGTAAACAAATTTGTTTACTTAAATAATTGAAGAAAAATTAAATCTAGAAATAATTTTTTATATTAAATCTTAATTTAAAAGTAGGATTCACTATATCATATAATCATATAACAATTGTAACAAAAATCACATTTCTAAAATGTTATAAAGGTAAAATTTATCAAAAACTATGTAACTTGTTTAAAACTTTTATATTAACTTTATAAGAACAAAGTCAATTAAATAGAATAATTTTAGGTACAAAATTGTTGGTAGAATATTTTTGAAAATAGGTTAAACTTTTTAAAAGTCTGTGAATTCTAGTTTTATAGTTACAAGTTTTTAAATAAGTTTAGAAACAGATGATGAAATATAATAAAATTTATAAAAAAGATTTATAATAATTTTATATTTCTTTTAAAAAAAATTATTTCAAAGTTTATATGTAAAATAAAAGTTTACTTATTATGACTTGTTATATTATATATAGAAATAAAATAAGTAAATTGTAATGGTTTAAAACATTATTTTCCTTTAATAAAAATTATTAACTTTATTAAAAGTTAATAGATTATATATAATAATGAACACAACAACTATATTATAAGTTTCAGATATACATTTTCAACATATTGATATTATATATAATAATAATACTATATATTATCATATCAAAGTGAGAAAAGAAAAAATAAAGATTTCTATTCTACCTGAATTTACTATTTTTACCAATATCAAAAATAATATTTATTAACTCTTTATTGATATTTCTGAAAAAAAAATTTTAAAGAAAATATAAGTAATTTTTCTAAAATTATTATATTAAATTTTCAATCTAATCAGTTTTAAAGTCTTGTTACATATATTAATTATTATGAAAAAATATCAATTTTTTATCTTCTTAATTTTAGTATATTTGAAATTGTACAAATTTTAATAAGAATAATTTATCAAAAATATTCATATATATATTCAAATTTTTAACCTATTTTTAAAATACAATAAACAATTAAAAAAATAATTAAAGTTGTTCAAAAAAAAGTAAAAAGATTATATAATAAGCTTGAGGATATCTCATCAATATTAATCTGTGAAAGGTTTTTAGTTACAATAGAAGAAATCAAATATGTAAATTATAAAGAGTTTATGATATTATTAATAAAAAATAAACAAATTAAATAACAATTATATAATGCAAATTGATAAATTAAATGTTTTAAACAAAAGTTAAATAAATTTAAAAATGAATAAAATAAAAATGAAGAATATGAGAATGAAAAAACTTTAATTATATATATTAAAATATTATTAAAGATTCAAAACTTGGTTCAATGATATTAATTAATACTAAATAATTTTTATTGTTAGTTTTACAACAGTTCTATTATTGTAACGAAGTATATTTTCCTTATAAAAAATCTAAAGTTTCTATTATAGATTTTTCTATTAAAATTTTTATAATATGTAAATCTTGTGAGACATTTAATGAATTTATAAATAAATCATTATATCTCAATTTTAATCAATATATTGTAACTGCAGAATTGGTAGGAGAAACAAATAGATAATCTCTTTAGATGATTTTTTTATATGTGAAAATTACTCTTCAACTTGATAAAGTAATTTTTTATTAAAGAAAAATATATACTTTTGAAAAAATTATAAAAACAACAATAACTAGTACAGAAATTACTTTGCAAAAAGTTATTAACCATCATAAAAATCAAGGAAAAAAAAATATATCAAAAGCATAATCAACATCAAATAAATAATATAAGTCAAATTGAGAAACATAATATTAAGTATACACTTACTTTATAAAATTTATATGATGAACTTGATTTTTTTAATTAGGATTAAGTAATTATTTTTTTTTATTAAAAAAAACTTAATATTTATTATTAATTCTTAATTAAAATTTTATAAGAACTTGTAACTTATAGTAAAAAATTCAATAACAAATTAGATCTAATAGTTTTTAACTTTCATTTTCTATACTTATTTCTGATTTCAATAAAAAAATCAAATATATTATATATCATTCATTTTCAAAATATATTGTTAGAGGTCTTTGTCAAATATGTAAATTTTATATTGATAATAATCTAAGAAATCAAATAATTAATAAAAGTTATTAATTAAAAAATAAAATTTTTAAAAATATTAATACTGAGACAATATACAAATCAGTATTTGAAAGAATTTTGAAATGGGCAAAAAGAAGTAATATAATCATTTATACAAAATAAAGATACTTTTGTTTTAAAACAAATGAGAGATGACAAAAGTTTGTATTATACTTTAGTATTAATAATTGTATTAGGAATTACTATAATATTTTTTCTATTGAAGATATTAGTAAATAATTAAGTATCTGAATTAATCAAAGTAGAAATATCTTGTTACAATTTTTATGTATCAATAATATAATTAATATATTAATAATAAAATTTTTTTCAAGAATTAGTATGTATATAGATTTAAGTAATTATCATAATACCTGAAAAATTCAAATTTAATATTGACTTTAAAGAATATTAAAGTGTATAGGAAATACTAAAAAAATTTGATTTGTAATAAATACAATATATTGTATTTTAGATCAAGAATATTTTAGATAAAATTAAATAAGTAATTTTTTCAAATAAACTTTATTTATTTATTTTATTTAGAGATTTCTAGAATTATTTATATAATTTGAAAAAAAATTTTCCAATTGTATCAATTTTATTGTTAATAGCTACATGTCAAATTATTGATGTATAAAAAATTATATTATATTTTGAAATAGATTATCAACAAATGCTATTAGTTTGGAATAATAATTTTAAAAGAAATTCAATTATTTTTAAAATACAAAAAAAAACAACAAAAAATATTTTTTAAATGATATTTTAAAAATTATTAATGAAATTAAAATTGAAAAATATATAATTTATTACATAACTATAAAAAAATATAAGGAATTATTAACTAATCTTCAAGAAAAAATTTTTAAAAAAATAA